CATATAAAACAGAGATATGGACTAATATGCTGAATGTTTGCAACATAAAAAAAAAATAAATGAGAGAGACATGTATGTCAATATGAAATTCTAAGTGCCAGAAAATTAATATTGAACTTTTTTCCTCTTAAATTTGAAAACTGAACGTCCCTGCTTTCTGAGAAAAACCATTCCATACAATTGCTTGTGGGTGCAAACTGCTCAAGATGCCATAAATAATTCATTCAGCTCCAGTCAAGTAATAACATGTCACCAGCTGCAGAAGGGAAAAAGAGAAGTCTGGACTACAGTTCACTAACAAGTGCCAACTGAGAGTGCTCTGGGAGTAAGGTATTCAGCATCCTCAATGACCAGGAATGAAGGAAGGCCAGAAATCACTGTGAAATGATCCCAAAAGCCCAAAGCAAAAGCAGGATATCTCTATTTTCAAGAATCAGGCAGAACACTTAGTATGAACTAGGGTAAAAGAGAAACAGAGAGCAGTCTTTGCTCTCCATCGGGAACACAGGGGTTGCTATATAAACAGGGCAGAGATAAATTACAGCTGTTTAAAACATCTAGAGTTATTCTAGAAGTTTTTAGTTTCAGCTCAAATTGGAATTGCAGTGATTCACATAAGTCTGCTGCATTGATACAGGGGGTTTGTATTAATTTTTAAAGCAATTAAATTGCTCTCTTTTATTACCTTTTTTTTTTTTTCCCCACTTATTTACTATCCTGGGCATGCAAAGAGTTCTGTCTTCAGCTGGTTTGCTTCAGGGACATGGTATATATACAAGGAACCTTACTGCAGCAAGCTTACTAGCTTAGAGGCAAGGCAGACTCACATGTAACTACAGCATTTTCAAAGATCCACCTCAACAGAAACATTTTTCACTTTAGTGAAGATGCCAAAAATACAAGTAATGCTGAGTTAAAGGTTTTGTAAAGCCAATAATGCCTTCTCCTTACAAGTCAATAATTACATGCAACTGAGTTACAGCCTCTATTTTACTGGTTTTAAAATGTAAAGGTTATATATAAATAATGAAAAGAAGGAAGATTAAAGTAAAGCAATTGATATGACCTATGGTTATAAAGAAGAATCTCATTAAAATCAAATCATTAAAATCCCAAAACAAACCATATGACTTCTGTGAAGAATTAAAAAAACAAACCACAGGTACCACACACCTGCTACAGGAAACTTGAAAAGCACCAAATTATAAGACCTTTTCCTCCTCTTCAGATATGTTGTGTCTAAAAAGTACAAAGTTTAAACTTATTGATGCAACAAGTGTTTCCAGGTAAGTCTTCAGAAGAACTCCTGGATCATCCAGAACATCCTTCAAAACAATTCAGGAAAGCCTGCTAGCCTAATTTATCAGAGTGTTTTTTATCCAGTGAACTCTTGAACACCCTAAGGAACGACGCCTCACTGGACCCTCTTGCCAAGCACTCCCATTGCCCAGCTGACCTCCCTGCTAGAAAGCATTCCCTGTTTAGCTTCAGGTCATTACTTCCTGTTGGACAACCCATGATCCCCTGAAATAATTCCTCCTTCTCCTCTCTTGTTCCTTCTCAGGTATTTGTCAGTTGTGTTCCCTTAGGCAGGCTGTATATAGCGTGTTCCTGAGACCTCTCTTCCCAGGTCCTCCCACCCTTTTATCATTTTTGTCAGCTCTTTGAACTTTTTTTCCATTTATTCATTTCACTGTGCAGCCCTTAATGACAAAAGCAATCCATACAAATATACCTCTACTTGCAACCAAAAAAAACTATCGATTGGTAGGTGAAAGAGAGAGGTAAAACCTGGGTGCCACAAGGAGGGAGCCTTTTGAACCTCAGATTCACATGTCTGGGCCAGAGAAACTAACAGAATAGCTAAAAGTGACAAATCTCCCCATTTCTGAATTGTTGGGTTTTCTTCTTTTCTTTCTATATATTGCCTTTGTAAGAGGGTTGCATGGTCTTCAGACTGCAAAATTGTGTTTGCTGGTACATGTACATCTATACCAATTGAGACAAATCTATCCAGGACCTTTGCAGGTGCTGAATGGAGCATTTTTCTCAACTGATTAAGTAGGAACACTCTTACATTAGGTTTGCTTCAGTCCCAAAGTGAACTTTTAAAGCAAAATCTAGGTTAGTTAACAATTTGTAAATGCATTTACCTTCTTTTTTCTGAATAAGGGCTGATTCCATGTTTATACCTGTATCATTGAAAAGATACTTTTCCTTTCTTCCTCCCTCTATTCTTACAGCCAAAGTAGTTTTTTAAGTAAAACAATAAACCTTGAAAACATATGAAATGTCAGTGATTCCTGCTGCAGTAACTTTGACACATGACAGAAGCAGGTACTGAAATATTAAGAGTTAAATGAAAACTAAAGAAATAATCCTAAAATTGAGTTCTTCTAGGATTCAAGGCTTCTTCACGTATGACATGGCAGAATCCCCTAACTTTGTGCATCCAAAGTCAGATGAGATCTCTCTGGCCCACCCAAGAAATGATAAGTGAGGCTGAAAACTGGATCCATATTTTTGAGCAGGAAATATGTATCACTTGCAATATCAAACCAGGCAAAATAAATCTTGTGTCTGCTTCCAATGGCTGATGTCTATGACTTGTGCTAAGAAAAATTTGTTAAAACTGTTCATACCAGGGTTCATAGTCCAAACCACTGTTCTCATTTTCGTTCTGCATTCCACAGGATGTTCTACATGCAACACCTCTTATTTTAATGAAGAAATGCTATTAGCCAATACACCTTAAAAAATATAGTTGTAGATTTTCAGACATTTTTCTCCTACTACAAAATACCAACTCAGCAACACTGAAAAACTTAATAAGGAACCGCTTTTTCACATGCAGTTTTCCATTTCCACAAGTTTGTGGAAACAAAGCATTAAATCCCATTTCTTCTCTTTGTTTTTCAGGCTTTTATTTCTAACTTGAGTTAAAGAAAAAAAAATATGTGCAAAACATAAAAATAATATCTTTGCATTTTTTTCTAATGTTACTACTTAGATTTTTTCTACAGACCTAAATTTTTCCCCAAAACTGAAGAGAGACATTGTTTCAGAATCTCAAACAAGTTTCAAGGTGCAGAGCCACACTGGCAACAATACCACTGGTATAGAGCTATATGTTATCTATAGCATGAAATAGTTACTGCAGAAATAAGTAAACCCTTCGAGGGCACCTACTGCCACACACAGTGAATGATGCATTTCTGTAAATTACATGCAAATGTATATTTCATTTAAGCTGAGAGCTGTTATTCTAGAATCTCTGAAAATGTGCTGCAGATAATTAGTTCCACTTATTGACTGAGATATTGAAGAACTGCAGTTATTTGCTAACTCCACAAAATGTAAACCCAGCCTCTGCCAGAGAAAGATTCTCCCCTACACCGTGCACCTCACATCTCAAGCCTTTTGAGAGTTCCTTTCTAAGATTTAAATTTTCTTTTATAAAGCTTTTCTGAATCAATCAAGATTCAATATAGGAAGATTGCCAAATAAATTACTTTTCATTTCTGCCCACTGTTAAATTCCTGCAGGGAGCTGGAAATATATCAGGGTCATTAGTCTTAATGCCTATAATACACAGTGCTTTAAGGTGAAGTGAGTAGTAAAGCCATTTAATACACCAGCCTCTACACTCCAGACACCTCGGGGTCCTGACAGTGCACTCATCTAACTCTTAACAAATAATTCTGGACCTTGAGCCCTGAAGGGGGACACACTTTCCACCAAGCTTGAATCTGCATAAAACATGCATGTTGATTTCTTTTTAACACTTGGTTTGGATACTCGGTTAGGACTCACTGGAAAGCTATCCTATGTGTATTTCTGCTGGAGGTCTGCTACAAAGCAAATAAAACAACTGACTGAGCTGTGTGGAGCTTACTGCACTTTGAGGGCATCTGCTCCCTCATTCTTCTGCTGGAAATCCCTGTGTATGCACAAACACTAGTAAAATTTATCCCTGTGCTTAGTCTTTTCCAAACTACCTATTTGCCTCATTTAGTTCTGATAAAATTTACCTTATTAATTTAAAAATCACTGATGAACATAAAATGTGGGTAATTTACTAATGCTGTTATGGTTAAAAAAACTTAATGAGCTAATTTGAGTTGATTTTTTTTTTTTTAAATTTAGCATGCTTTGATACAGCTAAACTGATAATTGGAAACAGGTCTCACTCACATTTAAATTTCTTGGTTCAGTCTTATGACTGCTTAGTTATTAAAAAAAAAAAAAAAAAAAATTAAAAACGCTACTTCATTGCCAAAATCTTAGCTAATGAATACACTAACTTATACTGAGGTTTCAACTCTCATTTTCAATTCTGACATATAAAGTACTGTAAAATAATTCATTATTTAATAGAAGAAATCTGGATAAAACTAATTAATGCCAAAAAATTAGCCCACAGCACAACACTAATTAAAGTTTGCCCAACAGCTACCTCCCTGTCCTAATTAGCCTCATTGATTTCAAGAAACCACTAAGAAAAAAAAGACAAACATATAATTCCCGCCTCATATTTGATAAAAAACTCCTTGATTCAACTTTCAAACATCAATAAAGTGCCCTTTTAACATGAATTTGGGCATTTCCACAACAAAGGCATCTCTCTAGGCGCATTATGTTTCATTTCTAATGGACTAGTGTAGATTTTCTGGTCACTTGTCAACAGCAGTTGAAATCCAGGACAAAATTATTGATACAGAAGACAACCAGATTAAAAAATAATTACTCCAGAGAGCTGTATATTATACTGAAAGTGCCCATCTGGCCATGCTGCCCCATTTGCATCAACCACAAAGTATGCATTCCATGGAGCGTGTGATCTTTCAATTCTCTGGCACCAGAGCCTCACAATCCCACCCGAAGTTTAACAAACAGCACCGTCAAAATGGCAAAACACTGCAAGGTATCACATAATAAGTCAAAATAAGTAATCATACACATTTCTGAAACATTGGTGATAAAAACAACTGTGCACTGACCTCATTAATAAAAGTCTGGGCTCCCCGTGGGCTCAGCAGTAAGATAGCCCTCCGCAACGTGTCCCGATAGCGGTTCAGCTCTTCTGTTTTCATGGTAGTAAAAAGGTTGGAAAATACTCTGCTGATGTTCCTGTCCACTTTTTGTAATGATACATCAAGTCCCAGTCTTGAGGCCTGATCGAGAAATCCCTGCAGCCCACGTATATCTGTAACACAGGAGGAGGAGGGGAAAAAAAAAAAAGAGAAAAGAAAAAAGCCACTGCATCAACCTTCACCAGTTAGGAAAGCATCACTAATTAGGTGACAAGCATTATTAATTAGGTGGAAAAGACTTTTTTGCTTTTTTTCCTGCAGTGCTATCAGCAGAAGAGTGTTCCACACAGCCATCTTCCATGTCTCCCTTTCATAGTCAGTGCCAACAGGGAAACTCCATCAATTACCTTTCCCCAGACATCTGTGAATGACTCTTAGCAAGACCCAGTTCATGAATTTGGGTGGCTGTGCACACCTCCCCAGAAGCTCAAGGCCACAAACAAAAAGACAGTCCCACCCCAACAGCATAAGAGTTCAAATGCAGAAAACTAGAAGAAGATAAATACTCATCCCTAAAACTTCTCTTATTCTACCACAACCTCACATGCCTGCTTTTTTCAAGAAAAAATTACCATATCCAGAACATATCCAACCCTCCTTTTGACTTCCCTGTTTTTTTCCTGTCCTATAAATAACCTACCTAACCAGAGGTTTACCACTGACCTGCAAGCCCATGAAATAGCACACAAAGCCCCAGACTATTAGAAGAGAAATCATGCAAACAAGCACTGTTCAGAACAGGTTTCTTTGAGCTCTGTGCCTCAACTTCAGGACGACTGAAAAAATATATTTCCTTAACCACGTTCTAGGGCATCCACATGGAGTAACACATTTCATATTATGTTCACTCTGAAAGCTGTTTGTTCAAAATGTGATCTTTTTTCTTGACTCTCAGCATTTTTCTGTAATAAATGTCTGAGGTTTTATTTTGTTGTGAAATTTAGAACAAGGTCAAAGTTTATATTGCACCAGGTTGCTCTCAAAATTAACAGTGACTTCATCACAGCTGTACCATGTTATTACAAGCCCTTAATTTTATGGGAAACATGTAAAACTTGTCTTGAAAAAGAAAGTATTGAAGCCTCTTTTTTTGCATTCATTTCTCACACTTTCATCATTAAACTTCATCTCCTGGGTGAAGCCGAGTGGCTTAAGTTAGAACACATTTATTGATCCAATAATAAAAATCACTCTTCAGAAAACTTTACTATAACTCTAAAAATCTCTGTAAACCACATCATAACACCTGGTGGTTTGCTTTTTTTTTTTTCTTTAGTCAAAGAAATAACCATCTTCTGATACTGTTCAGAGAGCTGAACCCCATTCCAACTGAATCAGTAGCACTCCTCACTGCCCCACCTGGTGGGCTCTTAAACCACCACCAACTTTGGTGTTTCATGACCATAGAATACACAATAAAATACACCTTTTGTATCTCCTTGGAAAATGTCTTATGAAACCTGATGTAAGTAATACCTTGTGAGGATACATCAAATAAAGAATTTAGTTCATGAACAAGTGTAATATGCTAGGGCCAACTAGAAAATATTCCAAAGGAAAAGCACTGAAATTCTATCCAAACATGGGAATGCTTGTTAAGGTGATTAATTCAGCTTCAGAAATCAGTTGAATTGCAGAGACACATCAGAAATAATAAAAACTTAGCTAGGATTGTACCAACCACAGCAGACTCCCTACTGCCTTTTTAAGTCTGGTTAAGCTGACACGATCGTCCCTTCAGCCAACCCCTCCCATCAGAAAGGTGAACTCATGAGGGTTTTGCTGGTCTTTTGCTGCTCGATTTAGTCAGCTAAGTCTATAGCAGCTTTATCACACTGTCAAATACATGCCAGACTTGCTTATTGTCCAAAATCCCGAGTAAGTGAGGAAATCAAGGGGTTTATTGCTGTGCAGGCATTTCTGGAAAGCATCAGAAGACTTTAGCACTTGTATAACTGTTAAATATTGCAGATGTGCTGCAAAAATGACAGTGACAAACAACTATCATTTACAGGTTAAAGTATTTCGCTAAACTTGTCAAACTAAGTTTGGATTTTGTTCATTTAAATTCAGTAAATTATCATTCATTACTATGCACACTTTATGGATATGTGCTATACAAAACAATAAAAAAAATTTTCTTTTAATGATGTTTAGTCCTCCAAAATTACTGCAGTGCTTGATAAGCAAGTACAAAAGTAAGTAAGAAAACTCCCTTTCTTATGATTTGGTAACAACTTGTCTTTTTGTGTCACCCTCTAAAGTTATCATTGCACAAACAAAAGCTGTTTACAAAAGATTAACTGTGATGATATTGCTCTAGCTTGGTTTTCTTTTTGCCTCATGTTTTCAACTGACCTGCTGAACTACCGGTTGGAAATATTGTTGTAGTCCAGTGCAAAATACCTGATGCACGTGTTAAGACTATTTGGACTGGGAAGGGTATTTTATATTCCATTACAAACCTTTCCCCCAAGGAAAATAAGCTATTTCCCAGTTTGAAAAATGAAAAAGATTTTTTTCCAGTTTGAGAAACCAAAATCTAAGATGGAAGAGACTTTCCAAGCTCAACTGCACAAGCACAATCTGTGAGTTTTTCACAGATATAAAGGAATGTGAATTTATTCAGTGTTGGCAATTAAAGAGAGCTGTGTGATGATACCTTCCTGAATGCTGACATGCCTGCTCCTACAAGACACTGAGGCACTGAGGAAAAGGAGAAGGTTTGGTGGGAGTTCAGAGGTGGAAGTGGGAACTGAAGTGTTTTGAGAGGTGACTAACAATTTTAGGTGCCTGCATAATGGGATTTTTTTTTCACAATTATTTGCAATCATTACCAAGAAGGCAATCATTTCTTAAAATGTATCAGTAAACAAATACAGAAACACATGCCCATATGCAGGAGCATCTGTTTAAAAGACATAATAAATTAGGCTCAGTTTTATTTTATCTGACATATCACACAAGGAAGTGAGTGCCCTCATTTTTTTTCTCCATTTAGTAGATCACAAGTCCATGAAACATTAAAGAAAAACTGAGCTTTGTTCCTGAAACAGAAATATTCACAGATACAGTTGTGAATTTCTTTCCATTTCTCATAATCTAGGACAGCTCACTCTTCATTTCCTTCGACACTAAAAAGAGTTTTATAAAATTCACACAGAATTTCATAAAAATAAAGGCTTCTATAAATGCTTCTGTCTGTTAAAATACAATTGTTTCCTGTCTCTTGTAGACTTTACAGTGACTTTTTATTACAAAGTTCAGATTCCAACATTAGAGTTATCCTGGACCATTACTAATGCAATATTTCCTTGTGCCCCTTTATTTCACGTTTTCTAGGAAAAGTATAGTAATTCAACCTCTCACTTCTGCCTAGAACATCTGAAAAAGGACAGACCAGTTTACAACCTTCAGCTATCTGCCTTCAGCTTCACAGTTACCTCCTTTTGCTCAGGTTGTAGCCTACACTCAACAGTAAAATCACATGGTCATATTTTAATTATCTAATTGCCCACCTGAGTTATGCATGCTCAACATGCAGAGCTTCAGAGGCAATATTTGAAAATTTCCCTTTAGAGAACATGAGTTTCTTAAAGATGATAAAACACATACACTTCAGAGGGGAAACTGCACTGCAGAAAATGCACTCAGGTGAGCATCTCTCATAGAAGCGGTACATAAAACCATATAATAATTGGATATGTTTACAGTACTCTAGTGCCAACCACAATCATGTGGAGTCAGCAGGTTGGAATTAGAACCAACTCACTAGAGCTTCATAAGAAAAGCAAATTTCTTATGAACTTTGGGCCTCTTCTGTTACATCTGACCGGAGAGAGAATTTCTGTGGCCCAGAGCTTCTTCCTAATGCTGACAGATATTACCGTATGTCCGGGTCTGACAACAGAAGAGCAGGACAATTTTAGGAATAACTATTACAAGGAGGGAAGGAAAGTCTTGATGCAGTGCTAAGATCGAATTCTGTCACTGTGACTACAAAACTAATGCTTGCCATAAATAAAGGGCTTTACTGTGCTATAAGGAATAATGGAATGTATAATTTCCTGCTGGAGGTTAGCTTGGTTACTGCACTGGCTGATCGGATCACAAACATAAAAGAATGAAACTAAACATGGCATTAGTTACCTGTAAAGCTCATTATCACCTGCAAAGTAATTAATTTTTTTATATTATTTATAATCTTGCTTATGCAAAACACTCAAAGTCTACCATAGCATTCACCTTTCATAAATTTGCAAGATCTGATTCTTGGCCTTGACAAATCAGGTTTAAGACATTATTTTTGTGTGAAACAGCTGCATGGCTGGGCACAGCTGGCCTTTTAGGACAGCTCATTGCAGAAAGGAATTTCCAGGAGGTAAAGAGCACTATATTGTCTTTTCAACACCAGTTCCTAACCCCACTTGACAGAAATAGAGGCAGCACATGGCCAGGAAACATTTTACTTAGGGCAGAAAACAGCTGGAAGCAAACTGAAGTACCAAGTTGGAGCTGAAAGCAAGGCTAAAGAAGCACCAGGACGTAATTTCACACCCTGTCATTCTTATCCCAGTAAATTCTGGGAGGACTAAGCATCACCAACAAGTTTTGTTGTCAAATATCCTACGCCAATCCTTTCACTGGTACGTTTGTAAGAGGGAAAAATAAATAAGTGTGAAAAACAATGAGATCAGGCGATGGTGAGGTTTTGAGCTCTCATTTGCAGATTGTAGGCTCTACACTTCACACTTTTTTTCTTCCCATGTCAGTTTTATTTGAGCATTATTGTGACAATATTTAAAATAGTGAGAAGAGTGTCAAGGAGACTTGGATAGTTTCATTGTTCTAGTATTTGTACACTTACAAAAATACATTTACCTTTTCCAAAATTTTAGGAGGGCTATTTAAGGCATTGTTCCTAATACTCAAAAGCTCCAAGAGAAGAAAAAATTACTATTTCTTATCTTTCATACAAAGATCCTCTGCTTTACTCTAGTTTTGTCTCTCTTGACTTCAAATTGTACCAAATACTTCCCACTTATTATTTCATTTCTTGAGACAGAATAAAATACTCACTCCAGGATTCACTGATTTGGAAGATAACCCATAA